ACTCATGGAAAAACACGTTCAGCTGTCCACCACTGATCATTTACCGATACGTATTGATGAATACCTTTTTAAATACAATGAACAATGGGGTTTTCTACCTCCATGAATGAACGAAAACTTGCAAAGGAAAACAGACAAAAATTGCCATCATGATTTAAGAGAGAGAGAAAAAAAGAGATTTGTTCCTCATACACAAAACACAAAACCTGACATCGAAAAATAATGATTCAGTCTTGACTCAGATTATCAAAAACTCATTTGTATCTGAATGCCTGTGTTATAATCTCTGGCACTCAGATGAACAACTTATCTCTGGTACTCAGATGAACAACTTCAATGCATGTAAAATTCCATGGACAACTGGCCGGTTGGTAAAACATACATAACCTCTGATAGCATGGATCATTTTCAGTATAACTCCTCCTATTCGTTTTTCCACGCTGATGATGGTCGTTTAATGCGTGCAAATTGAATTGCTTTTTAAGGGGGAATATCATGAATTCCAGATCACTTTCTTTTTGACTCACCCTGTACAATCCCTGCCTCTTGTGTATTTTACACTTTCCGGTGCTGTTTGCTGAAAATGTCTCCTATCATGTTTCTTTCTGACCATTTCCAAACTCTGTGCTATTAGAGCATTTTGTGGGACGTAAACTTGAAGGTTAACTTTGTAAAAAAAAAAAAGAGGTGGAAAGCCGTACACAGGACTGTGATCTTGTATTTCTGGGAAATTTCGATGAAACTGTGCCTTAAAAGTGCTCGATTTTTGCAAGGCATCATGTCTCAAACTGAAGATGGGCATCAGGACTTTTTTAGGGGTCAACATCTTTGGATGAAAATTGCTCCCCCAAGTTATCATTACCGGCTCGGGTGATCGATCGATCCTCATGTGTTGATCCTCATCTGTCTCTTCTCTTCTCGGCTGGATGGTTATGTGAGGATGCCAGTTGACGGTGGCACAGGCCAGGGGGGGGGGGGGGGGGGGGGTCAGCGAGGGGCGCTCTGGGGAGTCAGGTTGGCGTAGCGGTATCTTCCTCGCCTTCCACCACTGTGACCTGGGTTCGAATCCCGCCTAGGCCAATATGTGGATTGGGTTTTCAGTCCCTACCTGATTCCGGGGTTTTCCTCAGAATATTCCTCTGGGCTTTTCCTTCCACCTCTAAAACTGTAATTTCTTGTCACTGTCTTCTCTCTACAGGTTTCTTCAGGCTTTCGAGCTACAGTGCCTAGGGCACTTTTGAGAAATCCTTGGTTTCATTACCAGAAAGAAATAAAATAAAATAAAATACCCCCAAAATGTGAGCAGCAAATGAGAGATGATGAAATGAGCTCTTATTTGATGTGTGTCTCGAACACCTCCGAGAGTTGTGAGTATTTTCTCTGAATTTCTGAAGTGTCTATGGAAGTTTATTAACTGCTTGTCTGCATGCATGTCTGTTGCAAGGGCGGATTCGGGGGGGGGGGGGCAGCAGGGGCCATGCCCCTCCCCCCAAAACAGTTTTGTTTAAGTGACCTCGCAATTAAGGCAGGCACTGCGTATACCATCTTTTCCTCGAAAAGATTTGGTTAAAGTGGACAGAAATTGCCTCAGATCGCACCACAGAGCATCTAGAAAAAAAAAAAATTTCGGGGCCCTTAAGCGGGCTCAACCCCCACACCGTAATTTCTAGGACCCACTTTCTGGGGGACGATTTTTTTTTGGCCCCTCCCCATAAAAAAAATGTGTGTTCTGGATCCGCCCTTGGTCTGTGGTGGTTGCTGCTAGGGATGCATACCACCAAAAAGCTGTCAATTACTGTGCGCGAGCTCATTAATATTTTGTGATCCCACGGGTAATTTTGAATAAGAGGTCCTGGCGGCCTATGATTGGGATTGATTGTAGAAATATTTATGTAGAATCAAGCATTTGTGACTGGTGGCTTCAAACTTGGGCGATTTTATTCGAAAAAAAATCCCAACTTGTGGGTCTATTTCGCATAGAGGTGGGGGTTACATTTAGACCTGGGTCCAGGGATTGGCAACCGTTTTAGGGGTGGTTTTACCTCTGGCTACCTCTGGTAAAATTGAACAGAACATTTTCCTAGAGGTCGTAATCATTAATTTCCAGTGGAAAAATACATTGCCACAAGGCGGCGCTCTTGTGTCCGATTTTGCATTGTTTCCAATGAGCACGTTGCCAAGACGGCGGCGCCCTTTGCTTCGCAATCTTGTTGATACTGTATCCTCGCGTCGGAGAATCGGTATTTTTAATTGTGAAATCTCATACAAACAAAGTAACGATTAAAACACCATTAATGATTACAGAAGCTTTACTTATTGTTATCTGCTCTTAATTTGCCCTAATAGTGGAACAAAAGTAAAAAAAAAAAAAAAACCCCTAAGGCCCCCCCCCCAAAAAAGTCTCCGGTTTCTGGTATGGAGCTTGCCCAAAAAGTGGTGCGGCGACGCGGCTTTTTTTTTTTAACTGATTTTTTGCTTCAAATGTGTGCTGTTGACTGCAAATGGTGCCCGACTAAACTTAGTGCAAATATATGGGAGTCCAGAGAGGTCACATAAAGCTTATTCTCGACCATAACCTAATCTAAAAAGCACGTTAAAATTGTGCAGCAGCAGGATTCCAGTCAAACCAGTGAGTTTGGCGGTTTTGAGACATCATCTTTCATTGAAAAAAAAAAACGTTTTCATTTTGCCGACGCGCATGGCTACGGCGACGCGCACGCATACCAGAAACCGGAGACTTTTTTTTTTTGGCCTAACCAACAAACCAGCTTGAAATCGGCTCAAAGTCATTTTCAGGAGAAGAAAGTGCTCCAGCCTTTTTGACCCGACTCTGTCGTTGCCAATGCGCGCACTTGACTAACGCTATGCAGAAATCAGTATGGCAGCAGTCAAACTGCATCGCCTCATTTTAGAAAAGCAAGTAAGCGCATTTCATTTTTTTAGGTGGTTACTGTGTTTCAGGTAAATTTTTCTAACTTGATTCCATTTTTTTTTCTTCACAAGAGGCCCCTCAAAAAGTGTTATTAAAGGGTGTAAGCCTATTCCACCAAAACCGCGCGAGGTCATTAATATTTTGTGATCCCACGCGTAATTTTGAATATAAGGTTCTTTGGGCCAAAAATTGGGATTGTTTGTAGAAGTATTTTATGTAAATAAAGTATTTGTGACTTGTGGCACCAAACTCGGCCGAATTTGTTCGAGAAAAACCCCCACCCAACCTGTGGGTCCGTATTTCTCATAGAGGCCGGGGTTACATTTAGACCTGGGTCCCAATGATTGGCAAGTGTCACAAGGCGGCGCTCTTTGTGTCCGATTTTGAGTTGTTTGTTATGAGATATAATTATTTGGTGTAGAGTGCAACCATTATGAGCGCGTATTTGGTGTAGTTGAACCCTAGCTAGGGGGTGCACAGCACCAAATAAGTGCGCGCGAGCTCATCATGAATATTTTGGGTTATCATCTCACGGGTAATTTTGAATTTTGCGGACTATACTTGGAGATTATGATGAAGATTAAGCATTTGACACTTGTGGCTTCAGTGGCGTAAATCGGTGCCGGCAAGGGGGGGGGGGGGCGCTCTTCTGGATTTAGATGTATATCAATATCGCGCTTACAACAAATTTAAACCGGCGCATTTTAAAGCTTTTATACTGTGTTTCTCCACTTTTCAGTGATATTGAATACATTTTAATTATTGGGGGATGATTCAATATAGCCCATCCCCTCTGGTCAAAAAGTGGGGGGGGGGGGGGTATACACTCCCCATCCCCCCGGGATTTACGCCCCTGTGTGGTTTCCAAATCGGGGGATTTCGTTCACAAAAAAACTTAAATTGTGGGCCTATTTCGCATAGGCCTATGTAGAGGCGGGGGGGGGGGGGCTACATGGATACAAAATAGTAATGAATGTTGGAATTAAAAACACATTTGACTTGAAATATCAAATGACTTTTTGTGTCTTTTTGCATACTAATCTCTTTGCAAAACGCTGCTGGTTGAGAGTCCGCGAAAGACGGGTCCCGCTAGTTAATTAAAATATTGAGGACTTTATCCATTATTAAAGAATAATTTATGTACATGTTGTTTGTACAGCACTTGTTACCGAATATATGATGAGGATTGAGGATACCCGTTTACGAACTGGGGCTAGAGGCCTCAGGCTACCGGGGCTACGTTCGGGCATGGAGGAAGCCTTGCTCGGCTCAGCTAGGCTCAGGCTTGATTACAAAACAAAATGGCAGCCAAAACGATTCGTACAGCTAGGATTCGGTGGGCTTCAGTTATTGGTGCGGCGTTGATGCGTGAACTGATACTCATTCATTACTGATCTTTATCGCTCTGGTAATTTTAATACATTTGTCTAACGGAATTTCACTACTCCACAGGTTTAATTGCTGAGAATTCTTTGATTTTCTGCGTAAAAAAACCCCAAAATATTTACTTGTCCGTGGGGGCGGGGGGGGGGGGAGTGGGGTGCCAAGGTTGAGTTTGAGTGCTTCTAGATTTCTTTCTTTAATTTCGTAGTGTCTTGGAGGTACATGCAGTGGTTGAGTACTTTGAGGACCATTGTTGAAGTACCAACAATGAATACACAAACCCCTGTAATGAAATCGCAAGGGGAGGCACTTGTTGCCATGGGGCGTCGCCAGGATTTTTTTCTAGAGGGAGCAAAGCACACCCCCCCCCCGAAATCCCTGTTTAGTTTTCCAGCATATTCTCAATGTATCATTTTTCGAGGGTGGGCAGGACATTTACCTCCACCCCATTAAATTAACAATATGACTTTGCGCGTCTTTTTCTCCTCTCTTCCCAGAGGGGGAGGGGGGGGGGGGGAAGGGGGAAGCACCCCCCTTGCCCCGCCCTCGCGACGCCCATGTTTGATGCCCATCCCACGTAAACATTCTCAGTTAATTGCATGTAGTGTGAAAGATGTTTGAGTAGTCAATACTTGCCAGCTCATAACATCAGTCAGTACCAATAAAATACTCCATACCAAACTCATCTGGTTTTCTCCACTTTTAAGTTCAAGGTATTTTATTCAATTAATACATTTTATTCATTAAATACATTTTGAGAGAAGTTCCATATGTGGAACAAATAAAACAAAAATATAAGTTTGTCAATTATCCTGGGAATTTGACGTCCACTTTACATTTTCGTAATGGCTACTGACCTTTTACTTTATTTTTCCTCCTTTCTGTTTTCTTTTTCTTTTGTAAAACAAAAATCTGGGGAAACCCCCCACCCCCTCTAAAAGTGGGACATATGTTGTCTGCCTTCAGATATGCCTGTTAACTTGCCTTTTCGATGTCAGCCTTATTTGCTGTTAATAGTACCCAATTTTCATTCCCTCTGCTATTTTATTTCTTAATTTGCCAAAAATACCAAAATTCAAGGAGTGTGACAACCATGCAAGTAATATTGTGGTGTTTTTCTTAAACCATCAATGAAGATCTCATGGTCGCTGCAAACATCAATAGAATCTTGGCAACGGCTACGAGTTATTTCCTAGGACCTGAGAATGAGCTGCTGGAGACCGATGATGGCTTCACCATTACTTGTGTCATACAACAAGCCTCTTCTCCAATTGTCTTCTCCATAGCCTCATCCAACTTCCAGCCAAGATGACTGCTGTGGTGCCTGGTTTAGGACTCTTGATTCCTGTTACAACAGATACAAATGGAATGATTGATTAATTATTCCAAACTGAGTGCAATGATACTTGCTACTAAAATGACAACATAAAATGATCATGTTTTTGCTCAGTTTGGATGTTAATCTTTGCCTTCTTGCATCAAAAAAATGATAAATCCAATCTTTGCTCTTTAAAAAACTAATCCTACAAACCACATGTATTAAACTAAACCTGCCTTAATTCAAAGATTTTTCATCCATAATACTCTCATAAAAAGGGACACAGATTTTTGTTACAAGCGAAATGATACTGATCAATCAGTAGCTGCAATGGCTCTTGATCATTTGTTTTATTGGCGGAGGGGGTGTGGAGAAATTGTAAGAAGGCTACATCAGTGGTGTAACAAGATCATTTATATTTAAGGCGGGGGGGGGGGGGGGGGGGGGTGGGTAGACGTGAAAAAATGCACTCGCCCATCTGTGCTGAAGGGCCTCCGTAAAATTAAAGGGGAAGGGGGGGGGTGTTGGGCTGGCTAGCCATCATCTTTCTATGGGAGTGCTGTTCAAACTGGACCATCATGGGCACTATCGGACAATAGGAGGCACTTTTCATGGCACTATCTGACCATCATGGGCACTATCGGACAATAGGAGGCACTTTTCATGGCACTATCGGACCATCATGGGCACTATCGGACAATAGGAGGCACTTTTCATGGCGATACAATTGCCAACATTTGCCGGACTGTCTAAAAAAGGGCACTGGCTTAAAATGGGTGTTGGTGGAAAAAAAAAAAAAATGGGGGGGGGGGGGGGGAAATTCACTCCTTACCATCCGCCCCCACCCTCTACCTCGCTACGCCATTCTAACTTTCTATTCAAAATGGTACATAGACTGACATTTTTAAGTTCCTGTAGTATGCACTTGTACAAAGTAGGTACATGTAGTGTGCAATTACCTGTTTACAATAGAGGCTATACTAGCTTGGTCCCAAACCAATTTGGTCCCAGCTCAACTCGGTCCCAGGTCAACTTGGTCCCAGCTCAACTCGGTCCCATGTCATCTCCGACCCAGGTCAACTCGGTCCCAGGTCAACTTTGTCCCAGCTCAACTCGGTCCCAGGTCATCTCGGCCCCAGGTTTACTCGGTATCAGCTCAACTCGGTCCTAGGTCAACTCGGTCCCAGCTCAACTCGGTCCCAGCTCAACTCGGTCCCAGCTCAACTCCGTCCTAGCTCAACTTTGTCCCAGGTCATCTCAGTCCCAGGTCAACTTGGTCCCAGGTCAACTCGGTCACAGCTCAACTCGGTCCCAGCTCAACTCGGTCCCAGCTCAACTCCGTCCTAGCTCAACTTTGTCCCAGGTCATCTCAGTCCCAGGTCAACTTGGTCCCAGGTCAACTCGGTCACAGCTCAACTCGGTCCCAGCTCAACTCGGTCCCAGCTCAACTCGGTCCCAGCTCAACTCGGTCCCAGCTCAACTCGGTCCAAAGTCGACTCGGTCCAAAGTCAACTCGGTTCCTATGGGGAAAAACAAATTAATATACACAAACAAAGGTCAGAAAATTTCAAGGTTTCTTGTAGTTTTGAGGCATGACCCATACGTGGTGCAATTTTAATTTGATTTTGGCCCCTAGTACCATGGAGGTAGGTGCTAGTACCTTGCTAGAATACTTCTTCCGGTAGACTTCACAGTTTACCTGAGGCCGCGTTAACTTACGGAACCGGGCCAACTTGCTTTCAAAGCTTGGGACCGAGTTGACATGGGACCGAGCTGAAAGCTGAGACTGAGTTACCTGGGACCGAGTTGACTCGGCTATGAATCTAAAATTGAGCTTTTTATAGCTCCATACTCGTAACAAGTTGGTTTGGGACCTAGTTGACTAAAAAAATATTAACATGTACATTTTCCGATAACAAACATGGTTTACTTCATCATGACTAACATAACATGAACACAGGGAGGAAAGGGTGGAAAAAATGTTGCAACCTGACGCCATTTCCGCGATTGTGTACAAAATCTATGGAGAGTCAAGAAAATAGTATTTCCTAACAAAATTGGAAATATTTCTCAGTGCCAGATGCATGTCTTGTCATCATTTTTGCAATGAATGACCTTTATTGAGATGATATATGAAGAAAAAAGTGGCGTCAGGTTGCAACATTTTCCCCCTAAATATTCCCCGTAGAAGTGACCCATAAAACATGTGTAGCAAGCGTATCTAATTCCAATATGTGTTTATGGTTAGTAGTAGTACAGCCATGGAGATAGAATTAGATTGCAACCCCAAAAAGTAAACATCAAACAAGTGAAGTCAAATCCCCCCAAATATCATATCTACAGCATCCAAAATTGTACTCACTTTCTGTAATTCAGGCACAGAGGAATTTATAACTAACCTGTTGATTGGATGATTCGGGCAACTGATGATTAGGAGTCACAAACAATGATTTCACAGACCAAGAATTAACTTGAAACAACATATTTTCATAAGGATTGGACGATTATAAACATTCAGTTACAAGAGGGCGCTGTTGTGCGAGACTGCTCTGGTGGTGAAGGCGCTTTTGCACAAGTTCAAAGCAGTGTGACCACTAGTTACCAATTTTTTTCAAGATCAGCATCCGAAATTTTTCCAGATTTTTCAAGTCTATGCCTAATGTAAACCTTAATAAAAAGAAATCTGCTATATTATTCCGGTCGGATCACCGATTTTACAGAATTCTGTAGAACAAGGAAGCTGCTATGATTTTCATTCTGCTAGATTTTCTGCTGGGTTCCTTTTATCCAAAAAATCTGTCAGATCTAGCCGATAATCTAATACGGCAAACGGAGAAAGAAAATTTAAAATGTGAGCACATGTGGTGAATTGTCAAGATTCTTGGCTTTTTCAATTTGTTTTCAAGTTTTCAAGATGGGTCTCAAATTCTCAAGATATTGAAAAAAAATTCAAGCAGTGGCAACACTAGTTCAAAGAAATCCCCCAAAATAAGATATTATGGTTGTTTAAGATAATTATTTCTACATGAAAATGTCACGGGTAGATTTTGGGATTAAGTCCCCCCACTTTAGGCAACCCTTCTCCTAATTCGCCTAAGTTTGCATTTTTCCCCGCTAAGTTGCACTACAATGTCTTCTCTCTAAGCCTGCTGTTTCCTCTGGGATGATTTACCGACTTTACTACAGGCGCAGAAAGAAAGTTGCAGAAAAGTCTTTAGCCTATTTTTGTCAAGATTTTTTTTACCGGCCTTCACGTTCCGTCAATGGACCTTAATCTTGCTCGGGAGTGCAGCAGAGGTTTGGCAAAAGGCAACCAGCAAGACTCCAAGTGGAGTGAATTGGATGCAGTTGAGTCCTAGTGAGGTCCTGACAAGCAGCCTTGCTATTTAGGTGTTTGTCCTTGGGCAAGCCATTTTATCAATATTTGCTTCCAATGCACCACCAAGTAGCAAATAGGGACCCGTGCAGGCAGAGATGATCACTGCGTATGTTTGAATTTATTTCTGTGTGAACTGTTGGTATTCTGTTATTAAGTTACATATTATTACAAAATAAAATTAAAGAAAACCTTTTCGTTTTTACTGTTACCTTATAAAGTCTCGAGAAGGAAAAAAAAATAAGGGGCTAAAGAAAAACACAAAAAGTTATGTGGTGTTGACCAAGCATTCAGGGGTCGCGATTGGTTACCGACTCCCATATAGGGCTCTTCCTGGGTCTCGGATTCCCCGGCCCACCACACCTCCTTCCCTATCCATCCATGTAACCCCGGAGGGCCAAGCACCGTTAAGGGAGGAAACGAGGCGACACCCTATGCCTTGCTGCCGAGACAGCAAAAGAGCCCCGTACCTATGAGTAGATGCATAACCTGGACTTCGCAGACAGTCCCAGCCGGTGACTTAACTGATTGAGCTAAGGTCGGTTGGTATATGACGACGGGAAATTAAGACTCTTATAGTAAAAGACTGAGTGCGTGTATTGAAAACCAAAATTGCACCAGCGGGACTCGAACCCCGGACCCCGGAATCTGCGGACAACGACCCTAACCACTGGGCCACTTAGTTATCTTGAAATTACTGAGTCGTAATATGTTATTTGAAACACTTCGAGGATTGTCAGCTCAATCTGCGCTTTTGCCTTCATTCGCGCATGTAAACTTCTGAACTCCCGTCGTAAACAAACTATATATATACATGTAAATGACTTTTAAACGAACCTATTTTATTACACTTCTGCTGAAATTATGAATTCGTATACGGTACATTCGCAGTGTTGAAGTTTTTCGGCATTGTTTCAGTCTATTACTGAGTTATACTCTTTAACCCATAGTGTCTTGGAATTTCGATATTATCACTCTATACTCGGCAAATTTTTCATTTCTATCCGCCATTTACTACTTCATTTGTTTCAAAGCCTGTTAACTACGAGGAAACCAAGGTGTAATATTCTGCTCTGATTCCTGGAGAAGTTCTACATATTTTGCTTAATGTTTACTTTGAAATATGAAACTATAGCTTTTTTGTTCCTTACTTTCCTATGTTGGCTTATACAATTATTAGTATGTACCTTTGTTTATCTTTGTATGTAAAACTTTTTCGCTGAATATAGCATTTTGCCTTATCAATTTGTCTCTGAATAGGCGCATGCCTAAAACTGTTTCCTTATGGATTCATCATTTTTATTTCTCTGTTGTACATAATAGCACAGTAACAGACTGATTTGTGAACACTGGAAATCAATGGACTGAACTGACTTCTAACGAAACGTCTCAACAGGTAATCTCCTTTCTTTACTTTCACTTTGACCATGGCTCTTCTTTATGTCATTCTGCTGTAGAACTTTAAGCTACATGTAACATGTTTTAAGACAGGTTCGACTTTCACTGATTTGTTTTATATCATGCACGAATCGCAAAAGTGAGTCTTGCCGAAGGCATTTCGAAAGCGGCGTGTCTTTGGAGTGCCCGTATAGTAGGGACGGTAGCTGACTGGTACGAGCATGTTGGAACATGTTATGTGGTAAAGATGTGTCGTCTATTCCTAAAAACAGTTTCCGTAGGGAGAGGTTTCGGTCTCGCACGAGCGACTCTTGAGCTTTGTTTCCGAGGGCGATTGTTCACCAGTTTCTTTGCAGAGGAGCGTAGAGTTGCTTTCAAGATGCGGTCTTTGTTTCAAGACGGGTGCATCGCACTGTTCGCATGAGTCCTCCTCCCCGTTGCGTAACTTTTTTGTTCAAAACGTAGGCTTATATAATACGTAATTGCAATGTGAATAGGAAGCCTTCGCCTGTTCAACTTCCCCGCTTTTGTTCCAGTATTGCGATACCAGAGCAAATGGGGCATACCGCTTAGGCGGTGTGGGCCTGTTGCATGGAAAGAACGATACTGTATACGGTATTGAAACTCAGTGTCTGCTACATGTCGCCCAAAAGACTCAAGACAAAAATGACGTCACGCTTTGTTTACATGTATGCTTTGCCATGAGAGCCAGCTAGTGTAGAATCGGATGTAGGATATTATATGAATCGGATGATATTACAGCACAAGATTAAAGCAATTATTATCTTGTTATTTACGCTCCCTTTTATTTTAAGGGTGTTTTAAAACACACATTGCAAGTTGGAGCAGCTAAAAAGCGTCATATAAGACACATCTTTGGACGTGTTTCAGTTGGACAATGTGTTTCTCCTTTTTTTCTTAAAATGTATCCACTTGTTGTCTGGTTTTTCTGAAGGATCAAACTACAAATATATGCACAATTGCTCACCGCGGAACTTCGTACCTTTTTTTACTTTTGGAGTTCAGCGCACTATGCACAATTCGCTCTCCCGCCGTTACGTAACTTTTTTGTGAACGCGAAGTCGCCAGTTCAACTTCTCCGCTTTTGTTCCAATATCGCGATACAAAGAGCGAATAGGGTACACACCGCTTTACCTGTATTTGGACGGTATTCGGGTCTGTAGTATTGGAGGCGAGATACGGTATTGAAACTAGAACAGAAACGCCTCAGCAAGTACACTTTTTCCAAGACCCTTATCAATTAACGGACAAACTGGGCAGGGATGTGATGGGTATGGGTTCATATCTTCCGCAAGCTTACGATTATGACTTTTAAAAATGAACACGAGGATAATTATGATGACATTTTCATTTGCTGAAACAAAATTTCCCCCGTTTATCGCAGCAGCAATCAATGATTTCGATCGCATATAGCGAGTTGATAAACTCAAGATGTTTAAAGTTTAATGAATGCATTTTGAACTTGCTGGAATTTCACTTACTGAGAAAAAAATTGGTTAAAACATTGGCTCTGTCAATATGCCACAGGTGAATAGGGACATACATACGCCATGGCGGATCGGGGGATCAGAGGATCAAATCATTGGTTTCACCGTGGAAGAGTTGCTTTCAAGATACGGTTTTTGTTTCACGACGGCTGCAGCGCATTGTTCGTAGAGCCCTCCGTTGCGTAACTTGTTTTTGTTCAAAACGAATACTTATTGCAATGTGAATGGGAAGCCTTCGCCTGTTCAACTTCTCTGCTTTGTTCCAATATTGCGATACAAGCGCGAAATAACCTATCTGAGGCGGTGTAGGCCTGTTGCATGGAAAGGAAGACACATGTACACGCTATTGAAACTCGGTGTCTGCGTGTCATCAAAAGCACCTAAGACATAATGACGTCAAGCTTTGTTTACATTGTATGCTTTGCTATGAGAGTTAGCGGGTTGATGAAACGGATGTAGGATATGAATCTGACGATAATTCAGCACAAAATTAAAGCAATTACAATGTGCTATTTACGCTCCCTATTAAATGCTATTATTTTAAGGGTGTCTTAAAACACACATTGCAAGTTAGAGCAGCTAAAAGCGTCATATACGACACATCTTTGGACGTGTTTCTGGGTTGGACAATGTTTTCTCCTTTTTTCTTTAAATGTACCCAATTATCTTCTGTTTTTTTCTTGATCACTATTTTTTCTTCGTTGGTATATATACTGCTCAACTAACCCACCCCCCCCCCCAAAAAAAACCCCTGCTTATTATGATGGGCGTACATTGTTAAAGTTGCGTCCTCATGCCATTTTCGAGATTCACCTCGATAACTGATTTTCCAATTGCTATTTTCCTAGAACTCCAACGACGTTTAGAAACTGAATTATTCCTCCAAAAAAATCAAATCATTTTGTAATGAAAATGAAACTCCTTTTTAAGAGGGTTGCAGACGCCTAAAATTTGATTACATGTAGGCCCTAAATTTTCTCTTAAAACAAAAGTTGCAAATCGAAAACTGGTTAGCCTAGAAGAAAAAAAGTATGTATACAGCACGGGGTGTCATCTTTGATGGTGTTTTCCCCACAAATCGTGCACACCCGTTGGGGTTGCATGCGGAATATGAAAAGGTCGTCAAAGTGTCTGTCCAAAACCGTGAATTCCGAAAGCCGCACCGGCGGGCGGCCGGTTCACCGTACGGCGCGTCGTCCCCAATCCCTGGTTTGGTGTACACAGAGAGGTTTCGATTTCGCGCGAGCGACTCGAAGCGTTGTTGCCAAAGGATCAAACCACAATCACCGTGGAA